TTTAAACAGTTTCATTGTGACGCTGCGGGTGGGGCTGAGCAGATCATAAAAACCGTCGTCTTTTAGATGAAACTCACTGCTGGCTGTAAAAGTGAATTTGGATAGCACACTGAAGGAGAGTGGTACGTCAATTTTGAACCCTTCTATCCAAAGCTGTTCTATACTTAGGGTTCCGCATCTGGAGCTGTGATCTTTTTTGTAGCCATTTCCTAGTAACCTAGCCGTAAAGTATTTTTGAACACCCCCATTTTCAGCCTGGCGTTATCTTGGATACCATTCAATGTAAACTGGACAACATTCTTATAGCGGACGTGCGCAAGTTTACAGAACAGTAACTTGACTTCTTTGGGGTGAAAGTTAAGAACCATGCAACTCAGTAGGACCCTAGATTTACAAGTCTGTGATATGACCTGTTCAAAAGATGTGAGGTCCCCTGAATATCGTGGCCCCGGGCCGCAGACACTTTTGAGAGCAGGTAGTTTCGTAGACTGGAGATATAGTTAGATGTTTACCGATGGAGCATGAAAACACATACAACCACGTTTGTCTGTATTGAGCTGAAGTTTTCAAGTAGTAGGCCGAATGGGTATTGTATAAAGCTCCCTTTGTGCTAGTGCTTGGAAGTGGGACAGATCAAGATGGGGGAGCGTGTGTTCAGCTTTTAGGCCATCAGCAAACAAGAATGGCTTGCTGTGTCTAAAGCAGCTGCAAATGTCATCGACTCATCAGGTAAAGGGGAGCGGACCCAATAGGCTATTTAGAGCTACACGAGAGGTGTTCGGCCTAGGTTTTGAAGTTTGTGAGTCTACCTTCACCACCTGAGTACGACTGCTGGGGAAAGACTTAATCCATCCCACTGACGGATACTGAATTCCCAGGGACTTTAACCTACTCATCAACAGTAGGCGATCGACCGTGACAAATCCCTTTGGAATGTCTAGAGAAAGTACAAGGACTAATTGGTGTCGGCCGTGCACAACGATTATGAAGTTAAAGAAGTCAAGATGCCAAGTACGCAGGACCTCGATTTCAGGATCCCATTCTGGTCGGATGTGATGATACTGTTACTAAGCATGTGGTGAAGAGCACTTTTATCGGTCTAGAAATTACTGAAGTAATATTTATTGGTCTGTAGTTACTGGCTAGGGTTTTTGAGCCAGATTTATATCTAGGCAAGATAAATGAGGTTTTCCAGATATCGGGGTATGTGAAAGATTCCAAAGACGGAAAATATTTAAAGCAATAATAATGGAACGGAACCAAAAGTTACCATGCATCACACACGCTTCTCAAATGTTCTGCCTGCGCCAATGTGAAAGATGCCCGAAGTCTATGTGTAACTGCTGCCATTCGGACTAATAACCGTCTCAACGCCTGTTTCCATCTACTGCTGAAAGTATTCCCAATGGAATTATTCCATACTAACTCCAAACATAACATGGTGACCTGTAAAAGCATTGATTTAGACACTTACCTTGGTTTTAAAACTGTGGATACTCACTGACGCTTCTGATAGTGTAACTTAGTTCTTCGTGATAAGAAAGGCTAAAAAGCGAAAAACTTTCTAATGAACAGATAGTTATATTACTGAATAACAAACTATGCAGATGGACCAACAACGTCGGCTGGTTATAACGCGAACTTCGAACACTGTGCGCTTTTTTTATTGATATTGGAGCTTGTCTGTGCGATAGGTGATGAAATCTACGCCCGCCTAATGATTTGCAGCAAGTTTCAATGAGATTATGAACATCAACGACTCGGTAAGCGGACTGTATAATACCAAATGCTATTCTGTAAACTTTCAAGAATTATCATTTGACGGTGCCTGTAAACTGGTATCACTCGAGTTAAATCCATTATATGAGAATAAGAATTTTTATTATCTTCATTTTGACGCTTTGCATTTGCTGTGAAGTGATATCTTTTTTCTTTTTCTCATAACCGCGATCTCCTGATGTTTTTCATAGAGTTTGACGACCTCTCAACTGTACCATTCAGGACCAGTAAAATCTTGTAGATTTTTCCGCATGTATCGATGTGATGATGCCCGTAAGCTGGCTTCACTCATGTTAAGTTACTAATTTGGGAGTAAAATGTTCGTTTATTTATTTAGCATTGCAAGCTCTGGTGTCATGAACAAGGGAGGGATGTTATATCTCGTACGATTCGATCGCTTTTTAGGTAGTGCTCAGGGAGCATATACCCCAGGTGAGCTAGCTGGCACACTACCCTCTTCAGTCTTCATATGCAGATCGTAGTTATATGAGATGCAGTTAAGAATACCATGAATCAGCCAAGGTATATCGAAGTCATGATGTCCGTAGTATATTGTGGAGAGTTTGGGTTACTTTTTACGAGGACTGGGAAGTACATGTTGGTCACCGTTTCGGGGCATTTTTTGAAACCTTCCGATGGAACAGCGGTATAGAGACGGGTTTTGGAACTGTAGCGTATTATTTTAGGGGCGGGTTTCAGGTCTACAATGGTGGAGTATGATCCGTCTAATCGGTGGACACATCGGCTGCCATTTCGCCCTACCGTAGTCAACATCAAAGTGAGGGGAGACAGGAGGTCGTTCCGGCTTAACCCTGCCCAGGGGCTCGAGGCGAACCCCAAAAACCAATATTGATTAATGGCGAGCAGAAAATCCACTAGCCAGGGGGCCCGCATACTTGAAGGCCTGAATGGGGGGAACCTCTCCGGACTAGAGGTTGCCGAAGCCCTTAGCACCACCTTCGATACGCGATGAACACGTCCTCACCGAACCAAATTGTCAACTGCCCGACCAACATTCAGCACCACCAAATGCAGCAGAGTTACCCGAAATAAAGGTAATTCTTACTATGGTCCTCGGAAAGCTGTCAAAGCTCCGGATAGGTAAATCACCAGGGTGTGGTGGCATCTGGCCGGCTGTGTCGAAACAGTGCGCGGGCCACTGTGTGATCTGTTTCAACACTCCTTGGACAATTACATGCTTCCACAAGAGTGGAAACGTTTTATTCTGCCCCCCATCTTCAAAGGGGGAGACAGATAGAATCCAAAATGCTACCGACCCATGGGCCCCCTACCAGTGGTGCTAAAAGTAATGGAAAGCCTGGTAGACGACTATGTCAGAGAGTACTTGGAAAAGAGGGGAGTACTAGGTGATGCTCAATATGGTTTCAGAAAGGGTAGGTCCTGCGATTGAAACACTCTGGCGGCAGGTGATAGGTGGCTGGCATGCTGAGACCTCCGAATTCCTCTTGATACGGTCCTGCACACCATTCTTATTCGCAACATATCAAGGTTGGGCCTCAAGGGACAAGCGCTCTCCTGGTTACAGGACCATTTAGACGGCAGACAATTCTGAACAAAAGCCAGCAGAGTTTGCTCGACCTAGAGGACATCATCATCTGCTGTATCACAGGGAGCGATTCTTGGTCCAATGCTATCCCTTCTTTTTGTGAACGACCTCCCACTGAATCTCAGCTTCTCAACCCTACGCTGATGACCTTAAGCTATGGAGAGCTATGAAGTCAGATTACTTGCAGAGTGGGTGGGCAACTATGGACTGCCATTTAACCTGGACAAGTGCATGGCCGTGTTTCACCTCACCCCAGACTCTCAGAAGCTACCCTATTCTCTCCGTGGAACACAATCTTCCCGCACCACCACGGAGAAAGACCTAGGACTAATGGTGACCGACAAACTAAGCACTAGCTCCAAGTTTCCAGGAGACGCCTCCAGAGCCTACGCAGCACTGCACTTCATGCGCAGACAACTAGGTACCCTGATACCGGAACTCTTTTTGAAGCTGTACAAGACCCACATACGACATCACTCAGAGCTCCACAACGTCACTGCACCACCATATCTTAAGGGAGATGTGAAACTCCCAGAGAAAGTTCAAAGGCGAGCTACAAAGGGTCGTGGGAGCGAAGCGAAAACCTTTTGAGGACAGGCTGAATGATGAAGAACTCTACTGTCTGGGCTACCGTAGATAACGTGGTGGCTTGATAGCGGCTTACAAACACCAGGTAACCTAAGCCATCCGAACAGTCACTATGGCTATCCTCGTCGTAACCCAAGGAGAATCGCCCATCAACGGGCGAAAACCCGTGTGCTGTCACACCTCTGTCTGCGAGTTTGCGGCCACTGGAACTCGTTACCTGCCGAGATTACTACTTGACCAACACCCAACCACCCATCGGGCTAACCACAGCTACAGAAGTTGAGTGGGTAGGCCTACTGCATCGCAATCCACCAAAGACCTGGAACCGTTCCACAAGACCTAGAAGTGAGCGCGAAGAAACCAAATTGGGTTACACCAGCTGGTGAAAAAAGATTCAAGTGGTTCAAATTGTTTCAGTGGTTGTTGACAGAACAGAAGATTTCGGTTAACTGGCGTCCGCGTCCACAATCCGGGGGTCACTATCCCTTTTGGTTACTAACCTGCTGTACAAGTAAAAAAGGTGAAAAAGCAGCGATTAAAATGTGAAAATTCACTTAGTTCTGGGCAGATCCCAGACACACATTAGACGATGTAACCTGGATCACATCTTCAGAAAGAGCGTTCCAGGGTTCAACAACTCTTAGGGAATAGAAGTCGTTCCTGACATCCAGCCTACTATGTTCCAGGCTTAGTTTATGTGCATGTCCTCTAAGATTAGAGTTGCAGTTAAGATTTAATAAGTGACGGAGTGGATGGTCAGGCGTGCTCAGAATGTTGTAAGTCATCATCAAGCCACCTCTTAGCCTTCTGTATCCCAGAGGATACAGATTCAGATCAACTAGCCGTTCTTCGTATGTTTTGGACCTAAATCCTTGAACAGAACGATGTAGGAGATTGGAATGCTCGTGTTCATTGAATAAACTACAGTCGTCAAATGCATTCACCCTACGGAAAATGTCAATTCATTAGATCTGACAGTGATTTAGCCAGAAGGGACCTAAACACTAGCCAATACCAACTATCGAGAATTTGTTTTAACACTTCAACATAAGCCCTTGAAGGATGTTATGGTTATAAGCTGAAAGCGGTTTTGACAACTTCCATCCATAATAGATATTAGAGTCTTTCTTTCAAGTATGTTCATATTCCTACAAAGCCAGTTTTAGATTTTTTAAGTATGCCATAACTTATATCTATCACAGTGAGTCTTTATAACTAACTGATAAATCCTTCCCCCATTCAAAAAACTACATATTATGCTGAATCTGTTGTATCATACGTATGATACATCAGATTCAGGTTTCACTTTCAGTTATAGTTGTGCACCTATTTCGTTAGTTCTGAACATATCTCTGAATTGTTTTGTTATCATTTCAAACGAGTAATAGCAATTCCAATTGTTGAAATTTACTTCACTTTTTTGAAGCTATTTTCAAGAGATTAATGTTCACTTAGTCTTGTATTATGTGATTATTAAAAACAAAACCAGTAACTTATGGCCATGGCATCACGTTTTGGCGCTAAATTCCGTCTCCGTTTTGCGACAGTTGTTTTGACTTAGTGGCAAATATATAAAAGAAATGTTTGATCCAATATCGTATGACGATTGAAAAACCCTAAGTCGACCAAAAAAGGGGAAATAAGGCAGAAGAAGGTGCGTGCTTTCAACATAAGGTGGAAATGATTGGTAAATTTGTCTTCTGAGGTGTTCCAACTGATCGGGAAAACAAAAAGAAGATAGACCAGTCACAAAACCACTTTGAGAGATCCTCCACGGCAGGATTAGAACTCCTCTCTGTTTACTATAGACTAAAAGAATAAGTTCGGCTCCTTAAGCTGCTCTTCATTCATCGGGCTAGTCACCATAGCGATCATACGAGTGACTTTCTTCTCAAACGTCTACAGTAGAGATTTTCCACGTTTGCGTCACTTTCCTCATTTCTCTCATTTCCCTCTTTCTACCCTATTGATTTCAAGCTGTTTTTCACTCTTTTTGTACCTTTTCCCGTATTCTTCTCTTTAATTGGACCTAAAATATCGAAAACCTATCATTAGCACTTAAGTTGAGGGATAATACTAATCGGAAGTTTGCAACAGCATTTTCCATTACAGCATTTACTTTATTTCAATTTTTATGAAGTTTAATAAGATATTTGCACAGTTTTTAGAAGTGGCCTCGAAGATAGTACTGCACTAATCCTTAGCACCTCTAGATACAATCATGCAGTGTCTTCTTCCTGGTTATTATCCGTTACTATCAATGCCTGAAAAGTATATGCAAACAGCATCTTTACAATAATTGTTAATTCCTTTAGATGTATTATTGATGAAGTAGGTATATTACAATCCGTTAAGTTCGTAAAATTTGTAGATTTTTTCGATTGTTTATGGTCTATAAAAGAAACTGAAGTTGTCGCTAAATGGTGTAATTTTCAGTACACGAATGTAGGAATGGCAGATCAAGTGGTTTCTATCAATTTCTTTGATGTTGATTTCTACGGAGATCCAATTTTGCTATAATACTGTCAGCTCAAAGTGTAACAGTGTTTTCAGGTTGAAAAGTCCGTTAGTTCGAATTTCGGCGAGATAAACAAACTTCAAGATGTAGACAATTAGATTGAAGTTTTGAACTCTTCGGTGGTCGTCTTAGATGATTAGTTATAAGGGGAAAGAATTGACAAGATAGGTTAGTAACAAAACTAGTACTTAGGACACCGTAGACTTGTATGAAGTCTTCTCTCAGTCTGTACTAAGATAGTGGCAATAGGTCAAAGTGAACTAACTGTCCCTCATAAGGGACGGTAGAGAATTGTTGATCGTTCGATTGCCTTCACATTGAACTCGCTTTGCTGTAACTATCTGATAATGGAAATATGGACTCGCTACTTCGATCTCATATTCCAGCTGTGATATGTATCGGATATAGTGTCATAAGCATATCCTCATCGAAGTGCTGTAAGGCCTAATTCACAAACCGTAAAACTCGAAAGTATTTAGCAGCTTTTGTTGTGCATATGGCTGTGGTTTAAGATCAGAGCTTACAGAGACTATTAAATCCTCATAGTCAGAAACCTTGGACAATGAAATATCATAAATGATGGAATTATATGTACCGTCGTAGCCGACACCCTTGACTACATTGTAATTACTTTTTGATTTTCAGCGACCACCTCCTGAACCATTCATTTAATACATTCAAATCCTCTTGTCGAGATAGCCTGTTCTCGTCTTTATGTATTGCTCTTCAAATTCTTACGGCATTTGCAAACATACAGGATGGTTGATCAGATTTTACCAGTAGTCCACTGACACAGAGTAGGAGGGATAAAGGGCCTTAACCTGTGCTATGCGGTATAGCTCTCTTTACCGGTCCCCTCCAGGACAGTGTCCCAACAACCCTCACTCTGTTTTCCATCACTAAGAGAGTGCTTGATCTATTCCTTTACCTTTTTGTCGATTCCGAAATTCCACAACTTCGGTGAAACTCTAGATGATGGACTTTAGTGAATGCCTGACTGGAGTCGGTAGATACTACATCCAAGGTTACGTTTGCTGACCATCCCTCTATTGTAACAAAAAAGTCCATCAAGCAAAAAGGTCTGTCCTGGAGCTATGTTGTTCACGAGTCACAAATCTACTGTCTTCAAAACATATTTTAAAACTACTTCGCCAGAACTAGTACTAGTGCTTGACCTCTTTTATCTCGTTCAGCTGGCCTGGTTCTCAGTTCATGGGAGCAGGCTATGTTTACGTCATACAATAATTATTATACTTCATCTATCTTGATGCGAAAGTTAACTAAATATATGATTGCGGTAGCTTAGACAGGAACTGCATACAACGAAATTATTTGATATTTAAAAAACTTATGGAAGCTGCATTTATTCAAAGACATCTTCTTTGGTGTTCCTAGTAAAGTAAATTTATTCGCTTAACCCAGAAATAGGACTGCAGTCAGCACATACTTCATCAAGATTTTTGGACCATCTCACATAACTTGTTAGTTTTGGAAGCTTAAAATCAATATTTGTGAAATATTTTTCATTTTGAATGCACTTCTGAAACGTGGGTCTCTCAGCAACGTTTCAAGAACATTCAGTTGTCCTTCTGTCTACAGCGTAAAACCCAGAGTGTATTCTTTTAGCAATAAAATTATTACTATCATATTATTTGTCCCTTGGGTTCCTAGTTGAACATACCGCTTCAGTAGCACGTTTCTATTCCAATTTGTTCTCTGCAATCTTTTCAACCTGGCACCACGACTGCCCACAGGTTCTCATTTCTTTCTCACACCATCTCCTCCATGTCACCTTCAGACACCCAACTTGTCGTTTCCCATCTGAATTCCACTTGAGTGCCTGGCCTGGCGCGTGATGCTACTGAATGGTTTTCTCAGTGTATGCACAATCCATGTCCACTTCCTTCTGCATATTTGTTGGGCGATAGGTTCTTGGTTGGTTTGTTGCCAGAGTTCTGGCCATCTGATCTTCAGTAACGAGCGTGGACGGATGTTGATGAATGTCTGTAGTTTGTTGGAAGTGCGTTTCGTGACGCGCCAAGTTTTTGAACCATATAGAAGCACTGACTTGACTGAATTAGTGTTGAAAATCTGGATGTTGTTCACGCTTTATACTGAGTGCAGAAGATATTCACACTGGTTTCAAGTTAATGAACGCCCGTCTTGCTGTCTTTCCGATCCTGGCTTTGACGTTCTCGTCTGTGCCATCGCCTCTAATTGAAACAATGCTGCCCTGCCTAGATAGGTGAAGGAGGCTACTTTCTTTACGTTTCTCCCGTTGGTGGTGATTGGAGCTTGTCGTTGTTATTGGTGGTGTTGGTTGGGTATCATCGTCACCTCTATCCTCTCCACGTTCACTTGAAGTCCCGTCTTCGCTGCCCTGCCCTGCCTCTTCTGTCAACTTGTTAGTTTTCGCCTGTAGATCTTCAAGTTTGTGTGACATTAGACACAAGTCACCGCGAAATCCAAATCTTCTATAATCTTTTCATCAGGCCGGCGTATCCCCCTATTCTCGCTCCTCACTGTTTGTTGTATGATCCAGTTGACCACAATCACGAAGATCATCGGTGATAGTAGATAGACTTGTCTAACTCCTTTTTTACTTCAAAGGCACCACTGAGCTTCCCATTGTGAATTACTTAGCATGTGGCGTTTTCATATAGTTGTTGAATGAGATTGATGACGGTTTGTGGTATTCCGTAGTGTTGAAGCAGTTGCAAAATTACTTGTCGGTTGACGCTGTAGAAGGCCTTTTCAAAGTCGATGGAGTTGAGGTAAGGTAGCGAGTTGGCTACCATGCTATACTCTGTTCTATGATGATGCGTAGAATAGGGTTGCAATTCGGTCCGCACATGGTTTATATTTTCTGAAGTCAGCCAGCCCGTTCCGGTCGTAGTTTTGAATCTAGCCCATCCTTTACTCTCTCCAGGATGATGCAGCTCAATATTTTGCTTGGGGGTAGACAGGAGTGGAGCATGATTCGGCGCCACTTTTTGCAAAGACTTAGGTCTCCCTTCTTCGGGAGTTTGACAAGGTAGCCCTTCTTCCAGTCAGTTGGCAGGTACCTTCCCTTCCTTCCTTAAAAACCTTCTGCAGTAGTGGTGTGAAGATGTCTGCTGTTGTCCCTGTGTCTGTTCTCAGTGCTTCTGGTGGGATTCCATCTGGTCCTACTGCTTTCCCCATTTCAGTAGCTTTATGGCGTTGCGTTCAGGACTTCGACTTTTGTTGGAGGATCTATGTTCACTTGTAGTTCTGTGGCTGCTGCAGGTGGTATTTCTGGACGAAGTGCAGGTGGTGGTTGATTCAAGAACTTTTTGAAGTGGTCGGCCCATCGTTTCCTCTGTTTCTCTTCTCTGGTAATTAGATTCCCTCCATCATCTTTTATTGGTTTCATGTGTGTTGATCTCTTCCCTCCCAGATAGTAACCTGGTTATTTGATACAATGTTATCAGGTCTCTCTTACCTGCAGCCTGTTGTGCTTCACTTGCCAGGGTTTCGTAGAAGTGTCTTTTGTTTTTGCACTGTTCACTTCTTTTTCCAGTGTAGTGTTTTATACGCTGTACTCAGTTCCTCTTGTCGTTGAGCATCCTTGCACTGGTTCATCTTCTGTCTTACCCTCCTCCTCTCCCTGCTCTATCAGCTTCCATGTGTCCGTTGAGAACCATTCTTTCTTCTTCCTTGCTAATATTGTTGTGCAGGTTTCTTCCCACATAGCTTTCGAAGAGTTCCAGTGTTCATCCACACAGGTTTCTTCAGGGATGTTGCTCGATATCTCCCACTTTGTTTTGATGGTTGCTGTGAAGATTTCCTTTATAGTTTCGTCCTTCAGTTTCTGGAAGTTGTACTTGAACTATGGCCTATCATCAACTTCCTTGAAGACTTTTAACTTGATTTTTGAGGTGAGTTTCTTGCACTGGATAGTGAGTGGTGTGAGCCTACATCTGCTTCTCTTCTTGACCTTTTGTCAAGTAGGCTGCATTTCCACTTTCTTGAGATTGAAGTGAAGTCGATCTGATTTTCAGTGTAGTGTGTCCTGGTGTCTTTTGAAATCCATGTCGCTTTGTGGATATCCTTGTGCTTGAACACACTGCCTCACTGCAATCGCTAAATCGTTGAATGCGCAGAATTCTGCAAACACTTCTCCATTCTCGTTCATCACCTCACCGAGCGCTTCTCGACCCATGGTTAGTTGTCTTCCTGTGTTGTCCGCTCCCAGTTTGGCATTCATGTCACCCCACCCATTAGAATTTTGATGTCGGCGACTGAGGTTTTGTTTGGTGTTGATTGCAGTTGTCTGTAGAATTCCTCCTTTTTCCCCTGATATGCATTATTTGTAGATGAGTAGTGTAGCATTGTATGTTGTGACCTTCCTTCCTTTTGAGTTGAACCTTGCTGTTACGATCTTGGAGGAGATTGGTTCCCACTGTAAGAGAGCCTTTGATGCTGTTGGGGACATTATGATAGCCACTCCATAACTCGGTGTGTTTGTGGTTGTCGTCTGGGTGACAATATCGGAGTAGATTTTTGACTCGTCTCCAGTTGAAAGTTTGGAGAGCCCACTTCCATTCCATTTGTAGATTCCCCGCAGATTCCCAACACTTCTATGCTATACCTCCTCATCTCTTTTGCAGTGTGGGCAGCCTTACTAGGTTCAAATATAGTGCGGAAATTCCATGTTCCCATGTTTACTCTTGCTTTCATCGAGGAATACACATCGGCCAATTGGCTTCCTGAAGGCTTTCACCGACCGGCGTCATTTCGCCTCTCTGATTGTAGCGAGGAATAATATTGTTTTTACTTTTGTATTTTCTTTATGCTTTGAAGTTTCTGTAGCAGTTGTTAGTTTTACAGGGTAGGGTTGCTAGCCCTGCACCCAACCTTTCCTCTCTACCCGGCTGAGGACCGGCTAGAAACTAGTGAACTACTTACCTTCTATGCGTAGTCTGAAAGAGCGAAAGCATATGCTTCGTGAGCTGAATTTACTCCTGTCGTACGCTTAAGTGGAGTTAGTGAATAATAATAAATTAGAAATCCTAATTGCGAATTATTTTCTTAGTGCAGGATTATATGTTATCTATTCAAGATGCATCAAAAAATTCAAAAGGTGAACGTGGAAACTTGCACATTCGTCAAGACTTATTCTCTAAATGGTGATCGAAAAGTAGCGGCAGTCACTGTTGTGGAGATCTATGATGAAATTAAATACTCATAAAGTAAGTAGCCCCATGATAGGCGGTATTGGCTTGTCAGTTAAGTTAACGTTGGGATACATGAACACCATACAATTTCTTTGTGAATCTAAGACTTTCGGGTCAGCAGAGTCATACCAGTAATGACTACTTCGCTTCTTGCAAACCCTTAGAGTATGGTTTTTAGGTGAAACTGTGTTTATCATTCGAAATAATTCTCTGGCAGTATTAAGGTGTTTTTGTCAACATCGACATGGGTGTAACCATGAAGTTTCTGCACTATAGATTTTAACTTGTTAACTTCCACTCAGAAATCTGTGGTTTTCATGATATATAATGTGAACAAGATTACCACACTCAACAAATATATCTCACGGGAGAATAGCTCAACCAACTTGTGCAAATATACCAGCTACAATTTCTTCTGTCTTCAGTGTACCGTTTTACGTTCAAAAACTGCTTGTTACCATCCATATGTTTGAGATGACCAGCATCGTTTTCCATTTTCTAGTACCAACTATTACTAGGATTTGTAGTACAGACTAAATTTTAAAAAAATATTGACAAAAATAATATTTATTGTAACACCAACGCCGTTAACTTCTTAGAATTATTTGTTGAGGTTTTTCATGGGAATGAAGAATTTTTATCGGCCCATGCTTACCATGCTTTTAAAATAAGTTTGACGCCCATTTAGAGTCATTTGGGCCAAATGGGCTATTCTCAAGGAACCTTATGTTGATTAGCAGGCTGTTGGTGGTAGAAATACTGGAAGAACACCGACTAGTAGTTACAAATTGTCTCCATTTTTCCAGTTTACTGAAAGCGAAACAATAACTGTGGTCATTTTAAACAAGGAATGCTTTCCAATAAGAGACGTAAAACCCAAAAAACAATTGTCTACTATTTCTGTCACACGAGTTTTGAATTCTGCGAACTATTCTTCTCTATGCTCAGCTTCCCAAGTCATTTCTTGTCCGTCAAGTCAACCATGACACCGATGATATGAATGGTCATTACCTGAACACCTTTTAAGAGGTCTGAGTCACACTGTAGGCAAGGACTTACCGCTTGTATCTAGTCCTCAAGTTTAAATTTGCATTACACTTCTTGATTAAGACCAACATTCAGATATGTTTTGGACTGAAATCATGCACTGAACTGGCCACCAGTAACGTTTTCCAGAGTTTGTGGGAGTAGTCAGGGACTACATATGCGTAGCATATCCCATTTACCTTGTCCCTTATTGACTTTTATCAAATATATTGTCTTAAATCATAACCCATTCAGCAACCACGTGCACATTCGTTTAGCATGCAATGAGCTACACCTATTGTGCGAAGGTTTAGTGGTATTATCTGACTGCCTAGACCTCAGTAGGTGGTGCAGGGTTCTAAAGAATGATCAATCGGTTGGGCGTCCAGTGCCTAGATCAATGAGCCACAACTCCACTATCATATATATGGTAAAGTATTAAAATTATTTAACCACTTAGTAGTAGTACATTCTCTCTACAATACTATGGGTGGTTAGAAAACTATTCACCCACGAGAGTTGCTAAAATAAACTAAATTTCCAATAGAAAGTGAATTACTGAATACATTTTCGTTCACATAAATCCTCATGACAAGTAAATAATGTAATCTAACTATTCACACCACAAAAACGTTTCCTCATTTATTATTCTTTTGGGATGAGAAACTGTTCATCTATGATTCAAAGAGGTTTCTAAGTATTTTTCCTACTTATATTTGCAGCAGATTATGTTTTACACTTGTACAGGGACAATACAACTAAGGTACTTTAGTTTTATTACAATGAAGTTTTTAGCAATCAAAAAATGTTATGTCTAATAGTTTCACACCGGGGACTAGACTATAATCACTTGATGATTATTGGTTCATGGATTCTCGGTTGGAAAGCCTGAATATTACAGGCAGCTTCAGTTCTATAGTAGTGAAGGATGAGATGAAACGTGTATTCAGAATTCGACTGCCAGATGCTAAGTATGACAACCTGAGTTGATCCACTTCTTTAGCTAGTTCTGTATTGATTTATTTGTCTGGTGATCACCATTCATCATTACAATTTGAGGAAAAAAAATACTGAAATGTATGTCCTAGACAAGAATTTGAAAAATGAAATATTATGTCAGCTATTCTGAATGTTTTTTTGGCGAACTGAAGTAAATTGCCGTATATTATATGAACTATAGTCAAATTATTTTGCTCTCATCAGTATGATTACTACAACTCGTCTGTTAAAATTTAGATCGAAGAAACGAACTAAGATATGAAGATTTTCATTAACTTATGTGTAATCTCGTCATAGCACTGAGAGATCAAGTTGTTATTTCTCACTTGTAAAGCTGACAATATATCTATAATACTTAATGAAAACCTAATAGGTAATTTCCCAGTAAACTCTGTTTTATTAGGCAATTGTACAACATGGTCCTTGCAAAAGATAACACCTGATGACAAAAACACTTTAGTTATCAGAGTCTTTGGGAAAATATCTAATATTTCGTAGGACTACTACATTATGTGTATAGTGATTCTTTTGTCGTGAAATGTGGTAGTTTTACACTCCTTGAACAGACTGAATAACTGAATGGTTTATTTCATACATTCACACTTGCCTCTTTTATATATTCCAGTTATTTCTTGACTATTTTGAAATATGCCAAGACCAACTTCAGCTCAATCGGAACAAGAAGATAATACTGATTTATTACTACTTGAAGAATATGAAAGATTACACAATCAATTAAGAATATTACAAAATGAACGTCAAAAACAAAATGAAGAATTTACCGTTAAATTAGAAAAACAAAAGTAATTTTATTATAAATTCTTTGTAGTAATACTAAATATATATTTCAATAAAATCTAGGAAAGCTAAAGAAATGTTAGAAAAAGAAAATGAAGAAATAAAATGCCTTTTAACACTTGTCGATAGTACTCATAATAGGAAACAGGATATGAAATGCATTGAACAATTAAAACAAATTTTACAAGAACAAGATAATTTACAATTACAAATTGATGAATTAAAAACTTATAGAAAACGATTAGATAATGAAGTATAGTCTATATATTGAATATCTTTGTATGATTCAAATTAGACACGTAAAATTGAAAAATTGATTCAAGAGAAACAACAAATTCGTACAATACAAGCAAGAAAAGAAACTGAGACAACTGAACTGAAAATACAAATTGAAAAAAAACTTCTTGTTATGGAGAATAATCTATATGAAGTAATGATTATGATAATATGATATAATATATATATATATATTTTTTAATATAAAATTTCAGAAAAATATGAAATTCTGTGAAACTTTAGCATATAATAATAAAATTCGTCATGAAATAGAATGTGCACGAAATGAACGAAATATTTACTATTCAATACATCAAAAGTTGAAGGATAAATTAATTCACTTAAACAAAATGAAAACAAAATTAATTCAACAAGCAAGTATCATATATGATCAAAGGTAATCTTTATCTATCTATATCATTATGTCTATTTTAATAATTTTCAAATAATAGAACCGATGCAAAAAATAAAAGTAATGCATTAAAAGAAAAAAATGATAAGGATATTGCTGCATTTGAAACTGAAATAAAAGATCTACAAAGAATTATTGATCATAATGATCAATTAAGAAAGTTTATGATGACTAAATCAGATGAACGTAGTGAATGGAAACAGAAAGCAGAGAATCGAAGAAGAAAATATGGTAAGCTAATATAAAAAGAAAAAAATAAGCAAAGTAGTTAATTTAGTAACGATTGGCAGTGGCTAGCAGTGGAATCCAGGATGTGCATTTCGTCCTATTTGGGACTTGTCAGCTGGATGTACCTGCTTCCCAGTGAGTGATGTTGTTCCCACCGGGACTCGGACTAGGGAGCGATCGCTTCAAACACCATCCTGGATTCCACTGCTAGCCACTGGCCATCATTAATAAATATAGTTAAAAGACAGGCCATATCGAGGCATCCGCATAGGAGCCCATATGCCAACAGAGACTGATCAATTCGGTCCTATCTACGACGGTGTAATACAAGCAATAACACTAAAGTAGTTAATCATTAACTTTATTATACTTAAAAGTTAATTTTTTTTCTACTAGTTAACTTAAGGTGAAAAATTATAAGTTATTTTCAGTTTATAGGCTAATTGATTTCTTCTTTCTATTCTGTAACTTTTAAGAATATTTATTCATAATCAACTTCAAGTTCCAACTCAAAGGTTGGATACTAACACGATAATCTTTGAATAGAACTACTCAATTCAAATCTTGTTACATTTTAAAAAACCAATTACAGGTGCCAATGTCCATTATAGGTGTATACAGTCATTGACTAGAACTTAAGGGAATTTATCTCTATGTAACAATGAGAGTTTTCAAACATGGCAACCAACCAAGCTAAATAATAAGAAAGCCTACAGAAAAGCGCTACACTATATAAAGTTAACAGAAAGTTAAATCTGGGAAAATGAACAAGGCGCAATGAATGAAGTAAGAAAGCATAAATACACTTACAGTCACAGTATTCGGAAAATTAAAAGAACAAGGAATGTTTTATGAATGCTTGATTGTCAGCGACTTTAACCCTATTCCATCTAAGATATCCAGTCAGTGATTTCTGTCATCTGAATAACTTCAACCGAGTAGTCTACGCTCTTCTACATGAATCGGGATAACAATTAGTAGCAAAATACTTTGTTACCATTTATTTATCTAGTTTTTTCAAGCTTCTTTCACCCCGTGCATATACCAGACAGTATAACAAGTTAAGAGATGAGATGTAACCGGTTCATTATTATGTAATCACTACAATGAATACTTAAGTGTTGACCTATTTGAAATAAACAGTTACGGATTAGAAAAAGGATTTTTATTTACAATTATTTAGAATAAGTCCATTTTAAAACACTATTTCTGTAAAATGTTTCCTATGCTCAAAGTTAGCGGAAACGTCAATCTTTCTCAAAATATTCCATCAATAAAGTTAGTAGCTCAAAATAACAGCAAAAACATGCTCAGTAACTGAAACTGTGTTATCATCTTTTTCTTTATGTATTATTTCAAGTTGTTATTCATCGAAGACTGACATCAGTTGGAGGAACAAAGGAAACCTGGGAGCACTGGACAGCTGTTTCGTCCTAGTATGGGACTCCTCAGCAGTGCGCACCCACGACCCCACCAGCAGGGATCGAACCCGCGACCTTCAGGTTCCGCGACCTGCGCGTTACCATTGAGCCACTGGGTCAGAATCCAATGCTCCATATTTCCAACTTCTGTTAGCTCACGATATAGCGCAAACCGCCACCCAATGTCATCGTTGAGTATTTGTCCTCACGGCCATCAGGCTTTGACTCCACCGGTCACGACTTGTCATTGGAACTTCGGGAATACTTCTCGAAGCTAGTCACCAATGAGCACTAGTTCAATTAAATTTTGAGGGGTTGTGATAACTGTCTAAGTGTCATTATCAATACAGTTTAATCAAAAAAGATCTTAAATTTGCATAAATTAGGCTGGAAGATGTTGTTCAATAGAATTTTAATGGAATAAAATGTCCATGAGATCATTTAATGATCTAGTGTATTAAGGTTTTGAATTTAAGTATGAATCTTGCTATGAATTTAAAGCTTTCTTTGCTTGATGATTATCAGATAACTGTAATCGGCAGTTAATGATTTTAGATGGTATGATGTATCACACAGAGCACAGTAGGTTAGATGCTTGGACGACCTTCTTCATTTTACATCTTGAAAACACGATTGTCATTCATTTTATCTACTTTATCTCCTTTCTTTCCTGACTTTCGGTGCACTAAAACTATTGACATTATTATAACTCCTCCAATCTGATAGTAATGATTTAGAGTAGTTAGCAATGGAATCCAGGATAGATGTTTCGTTCTATTTGGGACTCGTCATGGGGATGTTCTCGCCTCCTGGTGAGTAATGTTGTTCCTACTAGGAGACGAACGTAGAACTGACCGCTTCAAACACCACAGCGTCACCCTTTAGGCCACTGAGCTACTAAAGTGGGAAGAACACCACTCATTGGGAACCAGGTACATCAGACTAACAAGTTTTAAGAAGGACGAAACGCACATCCTGGATTCCATTGGTAACAACTATCTATTAAGACATCCACACAAAAACCCATATACCAATAGTGGCCAGTCAATAAGCTCTAATCACTAATGGGAAATTACAAGCAATAAAATACTGTTCCAATCATTGAAACTCGTCTCCACTATTTGAATGTGACAAATGGTTTAATGGTTAGCTCATCTGAGACAGCTTTGGTTTACCATAATGGTATTACTGATACCTTATGATGATTAAAGGTGAAATAAAAACTTAGTTGGTTACAGGATTCTAAGCGACTTAACTGTGCATGATCCTACGGTGTTTCTGTATATGTCTTTCCTTCAGAGTAACAAACCTAAATTTAAAATAAAACTTTTTTCTCACTATTTGTTTACTGGGATTTATTGACTTAAAAGAAGTCTTCATCACAGAATTATATCAACTGGAGAACCATTAGAAACCTGGGAGCACTGAATAGCTGTTTCGTCATAGTACGGGACTTGTCAACAGCATGTACTCACAAATCTATCAGGGATTAAACTAAGGACTTTCGGGTTTCACGGCAAAGATATTAACGATTTAGTTGCTAGGTTTTCAACACTCCTTCAAATGACATTAGTCCATAATCAATACAACCTTGGAAATAAAATCCCAAAGAACCTCAAACTACATTAAATATTTTTATATCATGCTCATCGTATTTTGATGAATCAACCGATATAATGTACATCTTTAAAATCGTTCAATAGGCCTATTAAAGTTCAGTTTTACCATGAACTATATACTAATTGAATAATGTTTAATAATAGAATGCATACATTTAATGTATCACTTCATTCTTTCATATCAAGGTTCTACTGGTGAAATAGCACGACAACAAAGAAGTCAAAAAATTCAAGAATATGAGTCAACAATGAATCAGTTACAGTCAATTACTGAAAAATCTGATGTTGATCAAATGACTAGATATTATAAACGTAACGAAGATGACAACTTTACACTTTTTAAATATGTTACAGAATTAAATAATCAGGTAGATTATAATTGATCATTTATTTAAACAAACTTTTTTCTCAAAAAAAAAAATATTAAAACAATGACAGATTGAATGCTTAAACGATAACATAACAAATATAGAGAAAAATATGAAGGAATATCGTGAGAAGCAAAAAGAAGTTGAGAAACAAAGAAATGAAAAAATAACTGAATTAAAAGTAAGTCTTCCATCTTAGATATTTTACTCATCATTAGATAATAATTAGAGTTGGAGGAGAATTCAAGTCATACCAGAAATTATGTCGAAAATCTCATTATTATTATTATTATAAAATTCAGAGTGTTGAGAAAGTTGGGATTAAAATAGAAGAATCAAAATAACCTTACCTTTTCTAGCCAACTAGAAAATCGGCAAATAATGCTGAAAATGACAGTCCTTTGAATAGCATTTATAAAACCTAATTAAGCTGTAAAAGTCGACATTACCAATAAATGAATTATACTGTATGACTATCTGAAGAGGTCGTGGGTGCACACTGCTGAGGAGTCCCACACTAGGACGAAACAGTTGTCAGTGCTCCCAGGTTTCTTTTTTTTCCTCCAACTGATGTCAGTCTTTGATGAATAACAACTTGAAATATTTCCAAATCTCCACAACTCCCTCAAAAACAAAAAGATCTGAACCAGGCTGATATATGGGCTACCGGATCATAGGTGCAATTTCACAAAACTACCATTAACGCTTAGGTCTGAGGTTTAGTAGCTGTTAGGTGCAAAATTCATTCAACTGTAAGGTGATGTCATTGTCTGAAATTGTGTAACAAACATCATTTTAAATTCAAAGTTAACCAGTGGAAAATTTCTCACTGTCTAACAAAAAAAACTTTTCTGCTCAATAAATTTATCGTATTGAAAAGGAGATATAAGAAACAGCAAAGGATATCACACTGAAGTGTATCACTTCCAGTAACCACAATTCATGATAAGAGATTGACAGAAAGGTAACAAAGGAAAAGTGAAGTGAACTAAACAAAAGGGATATGAAATGAAAGACGACCAAAAATGAGGAGTGATGAAATATTGGAGATTTTGATGGAAATGATGGATGAATACACATGAGTCACTGTGATTCATTATAAAGCAATGTCACATGAAGTCTTCAGTTATGGATTCCTGACGTCTTGTATACCATGACCTTATGGTTCGAACTTTCTGATATGAACTAGATCAACAGTTACAAACTTCAAAAATGGATGCCACAGCTTGATCTGTTCTTTCTTAGCTTTGTTTCAGATTATTCTTGCATCAGCTGGTAATACAAGTTGACTTAGATTTATATCGTTCACGTACTTTAGGTTAACCGAAAAATCTTCAAACGGCAGCTCAAGTTTGTGTCAAGTAGAATCACGTTTGTTACTTTGTCGAAAACAAAGTTGAATAATTTCTCGAGAGAAAATAGCAGTTATTTCTGATGAAACAGCAATATATTATCGTATTTGTTCATTGAACTTTGCTCTAGTTTGCTTTACTTAAGCCACTAACTAATAAATTTAATAGAGAAAGTAATAACTTCTTTGAAAATTTCACACGTACTTAAGCATTTCAGTAATGTAGCCACAACTCACGATTAATTACAAGACCAGTAGTCAGAAGTACTTGCCAGGTAGATTAGCATGATCCTAACAACAGGAGGCTCCTCTGTTTATTAGAATTGAGGTAACCACTGGTAGACTCAAAGTGATTGGCGAATAAAGTCGAACTTCTAAAACTTCCCAGTTAATCAGCATCAATATAGAAACTGGTATTACTCTGTTACTGTTCATATTGCCACGTGGCATTAGCACATCAAAGTAGGAGGGAGAAAGATGAAAAATAGAGTAGTAGGACAGAATGTTGTATAGACAGAATAAGAATGATTGTGATGATTAAGATGAAAGTATTGCATGGATGCATCTGCATCACTGAAATCATTTCTGAGGCATATCAAATACAGTCTCCGAAAAGAGATTTTGGTTGTCTGTCACATGTTCATGTTCCCCTACGTGGATCAAACCAACAGTCAGACACTTCTTGAGTTTTGTTATGTTTTAGTTTGGGCAAGTTCAAAGCTATTACAACTGAAACTTACTTAAGATGGCAACTAAAAGATACGTAACATACTTCCTGACCACGTCAACCAATGAAGGTTCACAAACGTATCGATTAAAATTCTTCTTCGACCTGAAAATCTAAACATATCTTCTACGCTACTGATGTTGTGGTGGCACCACCACACACTGATTGTGCTACCAAGGCGATGTAGATTGAAAACCTGAAACTTTCCCGTGTTTTGTACTTTCATTGACCATGCTTTGAAGCTATATAGTAGAAAAGAGCAAACTGCTGCACTGTACACTCACTATTATTAGTCGGAATGCAAATATAAACCAGTCCTGGAGTAACACTTTGTATTTGGGTAATGAGAAATTCATCCCACGAAATCCTGAAGTGCCACTCAAGGTATGCAGTGGACTCTGCATCTTGCTGGCATCTCCATCTAAAAGCACCATGCCATCTATGTACTCTAGGTTTATTAAAAAGTCTGCTGTGAAAAGTGTGGAACTATGGTTCAGTGGTGTGGGAGGATAACTATCAAGCATTGGGTCACGGGTTGGAGCCTTACTCGGTCTACCGAGGTTCGGACAACCAGGCAGTATCACTAGCACTTACACAATGGGTGTAGCTCATTGGCTACTGCACGGATTTGCACAAAGTGGCTAAGTGTGAGTGTTGTGGAAATCTAAATCCATGTAAAGTTGGACGACAATGAGAGAGAGATCTTCGTTATCACGTTTATGGCAAAATTAAATCATAATATAGAGTGACTTTTCATTACTAATTAGTTACGTCACTCAACTGGGAATAAGAATTACTAAACTTAACGCTTATAAGATGCTCATATCAAGATGATGTTGAAATAGCTGATTGACAGCCATTTCGGATTGTGTCTGCGGATTAATGTTAAGAGCAAAACTGATGAGTTGAAAACTTGTATCTGAATATTTTAGTGGTGTTACATCTGTGAACGCAGAACTGAACCATACAACGTTACATTAAGTTTCTTAATACTGACGTTTCTCAACAAGTTCAGAACAATGTCAGCCAAAATACTAAATTGACACTTTGTAAACTGTAATTTAAACTAGATGATTGTACTTGGTATTTTAGCCCATGATTTTGGTACTTAAAACTCACTACAATCAAACAACGATTATCACGAATGAATGAATATCGAGATACCAAACTACCGGTCACCTCAACTCGTTTGCATATTAAACAATAATGTATATTATTAATAAAAGAATCAATTCCACACAAAAAATGTGACTAAGAAAACTTGTCTGTTAATTATGTACTAGATAGCAAATAGTTAATCAACGACAATAAGAATGTTAGTAAACAGAGAATAAATTCTCATAAATGTATATGTTTAATTTCCTTTTGCAATAACCAAAGTGTACAGAATATCTAGCCAATCAACTTTGAATATTTTATCAGAAAATATTTGTAACACTTCATTCTTATTCATTCATCTTCTCCTCTTCTTTAATCAGGCGCAAATACATTTGGATAAAGAAATGGCCGATTCAGCTCAAAATCGTGCAACACATATACATACATTATTGGACCAAATTAAAACAGAGATTAAACAGTTAGCTGTGAAACTTGGCTGTGATCTTTCTCGAATAATTGAAATGCTTGGTGGTGATGGGATCAGATAACAGAAAGAAATTTAATGCTTTATCTTAGTGCATTAGAACAGAAAGTCGATGAATTATTATCGGTTAAATGTTATACTCATAGCAAAGTAAGATATATTTGTAATACAAGTATTTTTGTATATTTTGTCTAGTGATGTGAAGTTAACACTCCTATAACCTCTATGATTGTCTATCTCTGTTTAAGAATGTGCTTTGAACCTTGCTCACTTTTTGAATGTTCTTGTATTTTAATTTTCTTCTTAGCTTCTTTTGCTTGAACAAAGACTACCATATCAGTTTAAGCATAGTCTTCAGTGCTACTTGACATCGATGACTCTACCGGTAAAACTACCAGAACGACAAAAACAGATCGATCACTATCATATTGTAATAGATTGTTTCATAATCAAATAGTTTAAAAAGTCTCTTACTATATAATTTGTGCTTTGGTTAAACTGAACTCAATCATTCTTCACTAAGATGATAAGTTCAGCTTCCGGTTAGAATGGCATTTACATCAATTGTGGAACTATTGAAAATCCAAGAAGCACCATGTAATTTTCCAATCCTAAATGTAGACTGTTCAGTAGTTCATATCCTGGTACTGTACCAGGCGATGAAGTCTTGTGATAGGGAGATCACCATTCAGTCAAATATACATTTAACTGTAGAAAGCAAAAGCTGTTCACCAATAACTTATGTGCCAGGAATTTTGAAACGGATCATGAGCAATATATTCTAAAAGTGAGTCTTATCATACTGCTGGTTTATCATTCTAATTTTTAGTAAGAATTAAGTTGAACACCGTTCAATATGCTAAAACTGATGACAAAACAACACAAAAAAAAGCATACTGCTCATCCACCTTTTTTAATAGATTTGCCAGTTGAAATTACTTTATGCTGTCAAATGAATACATGTCCATTTTTGTTCTTAAAATGTTTCCTGTTTGTCTTAACAATGTATATTTTGATTTAGTAACCGATATATATTAGGCTTAACTATCAAAAGTATTAAGATCAGTTATAGAGTTACAGAAACCGAATGACCTTCAATATAAAACTATGAACTTATAGAATTGTATGGTAATGTAGTCACTAACAGGTTAACTGGAACTACTGAGTGACTATATTGCTCAAATGTGAAGTATGTAGTTACACGTTGAATGGTTACTCTCTATTTTGTATGGTACTACACTCATGTACGTACATAACTGCTGCAATTAGAAGAATATAGATTCAGTTGATTTGAACCATTTGACTGTATGAACTTCATCTGGTACGGGTACACCCAAGTGAGCGAAACGACCGTATGCTTCACGATGAAAAACTAACAAGTGAAACATTCAATACATTTGAAGACGTACGAGAATTGGAAATTATACCTTCTTTCCTGTAATCAAAGATTAATGGACATAAGATTTATAATAATTCAATGCATGATTGAGGCTTGAGAAAACTACAATGCTAGGTGGATGAAACAGCTTACAGTTATCTAACACGGTAATAGCGTTCCTCAGGATTATCAGGTTTTGAAACAAGAGTGAAAAATATATCACACCGCTTTATTAATAAAACTATTTGAGATAGATGTAGCTTAGCCACAGGTGTTATTGATACTGGGTGATAATTTAAAGTGAAGTCAAAACCTGGTCAGCAGTTGTGTATTGTACCTCATTTGGTAGAGCGCCGAACGGATACTGCGAAGGCAGCTGGTTCAGATAGTTTTCTCTTTTCACCTTCGATCATTATCCAGTACCAGTCACATTTATGCATAGGATCAAAAGCCATTCATGATGTTCCAAGGGCCTTAATCAGCGAACCAACTAGGAAGTTCACATTCTGCAGTATCATCTTGTGCATTACTTCAACTCTTAACAGCATTTACAGACAGAAAACCATAGGGAAAGGAAAGGGATGAAATGACCCAAGAGGAAGACTATAGCTGACAGGATCCAAGTAAGCTTCGAAATGGTATTTTGATTCATCATGGTAAACATCTCAGAGGCACTGCTCCAAAACACTAGATATACCTCACAATAATAATTACCAGGCTCATGAGTCAACATCACTTTTTGTTGGGGGATTTGTCTATTCTGTTCCTACGTCATCTGTTATCTCATATAAAATGTACTGGTAGACAGATTGAAAGGCAGATGTAGGGAAAATAGGACCTGAAATAACTGCGAAGCGTTTCAAGTTGCCAAGCTAACAATGGAGAGGAAATCAGTACAAAAATGACTGGAAATAATGGTATCAGGATTTTGACAAAGAAATATGATACTTAATTTTGTTTTATGCTCAGAAGACATTGTCCTGCTAGGTAAAAGTGTTGACAAAATTCAGTCTTATGAAAAGTTTGAGCAGGAATTCGAGTATGCTTGGCATATGTTCCTCATATGTTAAATGTATGATGATGCTTCAGGATCGATTTTTGGCTGTCCTAAGTTGTGAACAGATAGTAAAGTGGTAGTATACGTTAGTCACCTTACTTACTTCGGAAGTTGCATCAGTCCGAATAGGTAAGTTAGTGATGAAATTTTAACTCAGATACAAAAGGCCCGTTTGGCACTTGCCCAATTGCGTTACCTCTGGTACGGTGGGATATCTGACTACTTATTAGAGGATGAGCATACTATGCCATAATCTACTGTTATACAATACGGCTGAAACGACCACCGAAAAAATTATTTGAAGAGACTACAAGCTTTTTACCGCAGATATCTTCACAGCATTGCTCATGTATGGTTGAATAACCGTGTTAACAATGTAGAGGTAAGTGAAGGGCACCACACAATGGAAGGCAATACAGCTAGTGAGGTTGTGTATCTTCCTCGTCTCAGGTAGCCTGGAGATGTTTTGGGCGTGTCAAGCCACCACTTACCTCAACGTGTTGTGCTAACCGGAGTAAGACTGGGCTGGAAGAAAACTCAGGGTGGCCAGAACCAGACTAAACACCAGTTGATAAAATTACTGAATATTGGTCTGACGCATCTAGGCAGATTTAGGCTGACTTGTTTAGCCTCTTGTAGATGATAGGAATCAATTGTTGGAGACTCTTGATGATATGGCTGAAAATAGGTCATGATGCCTCAGACATACACACGTTCTTCTTCCATGTAAGTTTTACTATTTTGGTATCAGTCTTTTTTCTACAGACTTGTTGCCTACATGCTGCTGGGAAGTTTGGCAAATTGAACCGATCCTCTGCTATGCGACGTTCTACTTTAGTTTTTTGTTTGTTTTTTCATTTTTATGCTATATCATTTAAAGTCTCCAAAGATTTGCTTCAGTTATCTGACCACTTCTCATATGTGTTTCCAAGCATCTTAGGGTTTCTTAAACTTGATAAAGATCATCATGATGAATATTTTGACTCGAAATTTTGAGAAACCTAGTCAGTTTTCATGATTTCATACGAAATATATCTGGTAATACAACGGAATCAGTGAGTTTGGCATCTTAATACACTGCATAAGTAGATTTTATCCAAAATTTTGACACAGACTAATTCAGTTACTATAGAAATTGCTGAGTAGTTTTAAGCTTTTGTCATTTTGGATGATATTCAGTATGTTTACAAACTAAATTTATCCATCTGAATCTCATTGTTATGTAGCTCAGTAATTTCAATTAAGAAAGCTATTTTAATTATACTTAAAGTAAGTTATGTAGTCGCCCTGGACTGTATAATTAATTGGGTTAAATAATTTTTATTCGTTTCATAATTTGATTTTAGGAACATGGTGATGAGATAAATGAAGACGATTTGAAAATAATCATGGCACCTAGTTTCACAGGAACGTTAAAAACTAACAGAGATTTATCAATTACATTACCTTCTTTAATGTAAGAGAATTTTTAAAGATATTTTTCATATTTTAATGGTTAAGATGATTATCTTTTCTCAGGTGAATATTTAACTTGCGGAGATTAAATCGTAATTCTAGATCAGATATATAGCAAGCAGTGGAAAAAGGAAACAAATGTTTAAAACTTTCACAAAATGTCATTTCCTAGACTGCTAGAATCATTCAATTTTAAAGATCCACCACCGAAAATAAATAGACCAACGCTATTGGTCTGTTGGTTTTGTTGAAGGCAGTAACCCATACTGTACAATATATCAGTTTACAATAGCTGAACTGTGAATTTGATATAAAGACCAAATCTGTATTCGTGTTGTAAACATCGATGAATTGGAAAACAATTAACAGACTCTTCACCAGTGTTTTCGAATACAATAATGTATGAAACAAAGAAAACGATTTTTCCAGTTGGTATTCACTATGTACTAACATTAGTTGGGTAAACATTGAAAACCTGGGAGCACTGGATAGCTGTTTTGTCCTAGTGTGAAACTCTTCAGCAGTGCGCAACCACAACCCCACCAGGGGTTGAACCCGCAACCTTCAGGTTCCGTGGCCGGCACGTTACCACTGAGTTAACCACTTAGTCGGAATCCAATAGTCCATATTTCGAACTTTTGTCAGTTCACAGCGTAGCGCGACCGCCACCCAATGTTATCGATGCGTATTATCCTCATGGCCATGGGTTCGCCTCAGTGGTCACGACTTCTCATTGGAACTTCAGGAATCACCTCTCGAAGCTAGTCACCAATGAGCACTGAACTGACAGAAGTTGAAAATATGGACCATTGAATTCTGACCCAGGGGTAGCTTAATGGTAACGTGCTGGCCACGGAACCTGAAGGTCACGAGTTCGACCCCTGGCGGAGTCATGAGTGCATACTGCTGAACAGCCCCATACTAGGACGAAACAGCTGTCCAGTGCTACCAGGTTTCCAATGTTCCTCCAGCTGATGTCAGTTCAGGATGAATACCAACTGGGAAGTCTCTAAATCCTCACAAACCTCCAAATTCAAAAGAAAGAGATGTCAAAAACTTTCATTATGAGATATCCTTATCAGTCGAACAAAGGTGAGGAAGTCAAAGATTTAGGTTTACAGAAAGTCAGCTCATAAAGACAAAATTTACCTATGTAGTAGGAACAGTGGAAAATGCTACGATATTTTTTCTCATACAGTCCTTACTCGTAAAATGAAACAATTACGATACAACTGGCCTATGGAAAGCCAAATTAACTGATTTACGCCCTGTCTTTAAGCAGAATGAATATTCATTTCCCATTCGGCCGTAGATTTCAAACATTCCCATATTCAGTGTTCACTATCCACTCATTCATTCATTTTCTCCAAGCCATTCATTTCATTATCTGTATTATTCAGATATAGATTCTTATGGTCACATTACAAGTGCTGGCTGATAATCTGTGATTCCTTAGAAGTTTTATTTTGAGGGATATATTTATTAGCTTTACCAGTGCGCTTTACAATTACTTTCAAAGTTCAACTCAAACTCTCTTAGCTAATCAAACTAAATGTGTCTACGGTTAACGTTGACTGTCCGGACAGCATTGATTACTTGTCAACTACGGTAAGCTTTGTTAATATCGAATTCTGTGTTGAAGAATTCTATAAGCAACCAGAGGCTGATTCGTTCGAATGAGGAAAAATAAAAATTTCCCACCAATCAATAATACATTTGTATGGAAGATGGTTTATGTAACTCAATAGTTTAAGAAGTAGATGAGATGAGATGCGTGCAATTTCCGATTTTCAGGCTTCATACTGGGGAACTTAACTGATATTTTGTAAATAAGTTGAAAAATACTTCCTAAACAACTACTTCAATTTATTAGCAGTACAAAATCGTGATTCCAATAGTCATGATTTGAGAAGTCATTTTGTATATAAGGCATTTTATTTATCTATCAATCTACCTACGCTTGTTTCCAAACGTCTTTACCATATAGTTTTATTCAAACACTAGGCACTGAATGTTTCAGTGGTTCTGTTAATTTACTCACAATAATCATTTCATGGATATAACCTCTGTCTATATATTTCCGTCTGTATATTAACGGGATATCTTCATTCTACTATACCTACAGTAAATTCACAAATTAGTCACAGCTGTCAAGTCTTTTGTGATAATAAAAGTCTTCCATTCAGTTTCGGTATACACAGCCACTATGCTTTGTAGAAAGCTATCAATCTGGATAGTCTAGCTTCATGTTGTCAGTTTCATCATTAAATGATGAAGTTTTGAATCTATGTGTGTTGTTGATCAAAGCAAATAATCTTGAAAACTAGATAAAGTAGAGCTGCTTGTCAAACTATTCCCAACTATTTATTGCATGCATATTTATATAGCAGTTTAGAGATATCATGAAAATTACCAAAATGGATCAAAGGTTAGTGTTAGTTAGAGAACAAGTCAATATTACATAATTGAAATATCCATACACATAATAACAGTTAAAAGTAATTAAGTGCTTGTTTTCACTAACATAATGATAATAATAAGCCAGAAAGACTTGAATCGATAAAACTGAAAATAAAGAAGGAGAATAATCTTCTATACAATCTACTTCCATTCCTTTCATTATTATAACCTGATTTTATTGATTTAAGCCTGTAGTGATTTTCTTTCTCATCCTTCTCTATAACTTTGATTTCTTTGTACTGTAGCCTTAACCGTAGTTTTATTACATAAGATCAGTTTGACTGAATTATTTCTCACCATCCTTGTATAAAGTGTAATTAAATAACATGAGAAGTGTTAGGAAATGTAGTTTTTCTAGTAGGAGTTGATGAATTATTAGGAATTATTGTTAGAAAATCTTGTAAGACATTGATCAAAATCGAATATAGATGCATTCAAACTTCATTTTTCACAGTATCATTAGTTTCTTCACGTAATTAATGTGCTTCTCCTTGTTTATTTGTTTTTGTACAAGCTTTTATATGTATATCCTTCTGTTTATTTCGTCTAATACTCTTACTGTTAACCGATATACGAAAAGAGGCTAATTAAAATGTTAAAGTTTGTCAGTTAACCAGTTTTTTTGCTCATTATATCTTTTTTATTGCTTCTAGGGACGAAGATGACACTAATGACGATGATACACCTGTGTCAATTCGTCCATTATCACAGGCTGAAATTATCAGTCGTGTTACACGCCAGTTACAGAAGTTAGAAGCAAAGCATGAATCATCTATTCCTACAAACAAGTGTATAGTCGAGTGTCATCACCCAACCGACGATTGAAAATTCGCGCATAGATAGGTGACGGTGTTTTCACTTTTCTTTCAAAACGTGAGATTATAATACGAATCTCCATTTTAACCCCTTTATTGAAGAGAATACTTTATACAGTATCATGCTTGTATATGATAATCTTGTTATAATTTATATTTAATACATTAGAAACCAATCAAACAATACATTTTTAGATTATTTATTTTGCTTTCCTTTTAAAATCTGTATATCTTATAAGATATCGAACTGATACTGATAAAAGTGCTGGTTTGAATGAAATAGTGATGAACGTAGAGGTGCTCCATATTGGTTTCGCTAACTTCAAACTCCATCAGAGAATGCTTGTCACAAAACATTAATTTTATAATGTGAGCGCTGTAGTGGTATCCTCCGTATTGTATTAAGAGATAACTAGTTCTACAATAGACGTCAGACAACTAAACAGTCATTTCATCTTCATAAAAAAACTGTGCTCACACACACAGGATGCAGGGCCTTTTAGACTCTTTCTTGTGGAGCTGTGGCCATTGGTCTAGGCACTCAACATTAATTCAGAACGTCGCACAACTACCGAGGTTTGGGTATCAAGGTAGCATAATTGTCCCTAACCCAAACGATAGCTATTAACTTGACGTGGTGGTTTGTTTGCATAAAAAAATGACCCAGCGAGTTATGCTGGTGGGACGTTTTGTTCCATTGAGTTCTTATCATGCCAGAAAGGTCTGTTGGATAGTGGTGAGATGAAAATCAGTTACGGTTATGGTATAAAACACTACACAATGATGGGGATCTGAGGGTGAAGTCGTACTGCTGCCATTTGGACGGGTGTGACATCAGTAAGGTGTTTTCCTTGGATGGCCAACAGTGTCATGCCAATGCTGCTTTCTCAAAGGAAGGGGGGTTAGAAAAGGTCAGCTCCAAAAATAATACATTCCTGCATGCCTCACGGTCTCCCAGTACTGGAGGTATGGGTTCTGTCTATCGGTCGTTAGAACGAAATAACCTCAAAACATCCCACCATAGGCTGTGTGTGACAAGCCTCCAGCAGGTGTCCGATGGGCTATGTGAACACACAGATCTTCTTCTCTTTCAGTACCCCCAAGGAGAAATAGTCTTTCAAGGTGAAGGCAGCTGGGAAATGTCAACCGCCAGCACACTTTCACTAGTACACAAGGCCCAATCAAACATAATCTATCATTCTCAACTCTGCATCCTTCTTTGCTTTCACCTTCTGATACTGATATTAAGCTTCTTATACCCTCCCCAACTTTTCACTCTACGACCACCGTCAACGATCCAAGCCATCGAAACCTCATTCCTAGTGTCATAAGACCCCACACTACTTTATCTACTTTGATATCATTCTTTTTTTATCCACCTGTTGTTTGTGTACTACGGTTAATTGTAGCAACTTGAGCTGATGCACCTGTGTGCGATGTTTTAAGTTGATTTTATCAGTCAGTCAACTTGTTGTGAGGAAACGAACTTGATTGCTGAGCTGCATTTCAGCCGTCTTTGTTACCATTTTGTCCCATAGTCATTGATTTGTATTTTCCATCATTTCATGATAGAGAATAACTGTTATCCAGTGTTATATGTTAACATCCATCCTCATTACCGTTTCGAAAGCACCATAGTTTATCATGAGAGCTTCAGGAAGTCTATTGAAATGAAGGTGGATAAGGAACCATGAACTGATAATAGGTAATAAGCTAGTTAATGAGATCGGATGTTAATCGACTGGAGTTTTCAGAGTGTACATTATTGATAGTGAGTTACTGCTTGCCTCAGACCACAATATCAGCCAGAGATAAAGTGAGATGGTGAAGTCTCCAGGCGTTCTATGCGCATTGTGAATAAAATTAGTCATTGTATGCATGCACGATGTGAGGAAACGCCATATGGTTGAAATTAATTTAATCAAGTATCTTGTGTATATTTATTAATATTATTTGTCCCATGGGTTGCCAGTGGAGCATAGAGCTTCAGTAGTACGTCTCCATTGCACTCTGTTCTCTGCAATCTTTTCAACCTAACTCCACGACTGCCCAGAAGCTTCCAGCTCTTCCTCACACGATCTCATACATGTCACCCTCACCTCGACTTCCAATCCACGGCCTGACCTGGCGCGTGATGTCCCCAAACCATCTTCTCAGTGTATGCCCAATTCAATCCATCTCCACTTTCTTCTGCATATTTGTTGGGCGATGGTTTTTGGCTTCGTTGGTTCGTTGCCAGCCAGCCAGAGTTCCCTTTTGCTTATTCTTATTATTCTGGCCATCTGATCTCCAGTATATTCAGTGAGCGTATGCAGAAGCTGTTCATGAATGTCTGTAAATCCCTAATAGTTGGACCAAAAGTATTTTGCCATACATGTATCTGCTTATAGTCTTGTGACCTAGTACTGAAGACTATGCTTCTTCATAGATATGAAGTGTTTGATAGCTTTTTCGGTCACGTTCAGATCGATTGAAGTGAGGCGATCATTGACGTAGAAAGATATGACTATTTTGTCTTGAAGATATGCTTTTATACAGTTCACGAATCGAACTTGTGTCTCAGACTCAGCAGGTGGCTTAATCTGTTAGCAACTCTTGGGCTTAAGTCAGTTTTCTTTACCTGTTAGCTGCAAACTTCCAATATAACGGAGTCCAGATGTGATTGTCTTAGGCTCAATTTCACATAGGGACATAAGTGCACACCACTGAATAATCTGAAAAGTTGTTCATTGCTTCCTCATTTACAGTGGTTTCTTAGCTGTTGGTTGGTGGTGAAAACTGCATTGAATTCAGTCAATCGATTGAAAATCTGTTGAGTCAGTGGTGGAAGAAGCTGCTGCGTTGCACACTCGGTCCTGGACAGTGCAGAATAAAATCTTCGAGATCGTTCGGATAACATAAAAGGTCTGAAAACTACGGAAATTTTCAAAGCATCTTGATGAAGATAGACTTTTCTAGTTACTGCAACCTTGTAACAAAATAACTACGTGTTTGAGCGAACAATTATTTTTAATTACTTCCTCTTCAGTTGTAAATCCATGAGCCTGAAGAAGCTATTGAAAATAGTTATTCGCTCAAACTACTCTTGATCTGAATAATCTGTAGGGATTTTTAAATAACTTCACACTTCAGGTGAATATCTGCCGTATTTAATGATGCATATGTCGTGATTCAGTATGGGGATTATGTATATATTGGGAGAGAGAGAGAGAGAGAGAGAGAGAGAGAGGGGAGAGGGAGATGCATGACATAAGTTGACTAATGAATAAAGTAAATGATGGCATTGGATTATTGAATACCACAAGGTAGCACTCAACACAAATTAAAGTCAGTCAAACAACCATTGGAAACCCGGGAGGGCTGTTTCATCCTAGTGTATGTGTGTGTGTGACTCCTCAGAAGTACACACCCCGAACCCGCCAGGAATCGAACTCAAGACCTTCAGTGCTCACACGTTTTAATGGTTCTCTAGCTGAAGTCAATGTTGAATACTACATTGATACAGATAGAATCCCGACAAAACCCAAACTATATTAAATATCTGCCTGATGATAAGCATTAATGGATCCACCAAAAATTCGTTTATATAGAAATATCAAAGACGGTGCAAAACTTTCATTTTCAGGCCTTTGCTCTGATCCCATAGAACATGAATGTAGGTATAACTTTCTTTGGAAGATCCAAGAAAGTTTGTCCAGACAACACCACCGTATACGAAACATAGGCATTGAGAAATATTCCAAATAAAAACAGATATTCAGAAGGTCATACTAACAAATATGCTAAGTTGGCAGAGAGTCAGAGGCTAATCTTCAACTTACCAAAACGACTCGCCGTTTACATTACCGCATAATTTATAGGTGATGACGTGCCTACGATAACTAAGAAAAACTGGGATAGCCCATCAATAAAACTCATGCACCTCAACAACAACAAACGGGTGGGGTAAAAACTAGAGAAAGACAGCTTCGATAGTTGCAGTTTCAAATGTGAGAAAAAAGACTAGTCCATCAGTGTGTGGAGAATACATGGATATTTTTTATAAAGTTTTAAATAGGACAACGTTTCTGTATCATAACTTAATTGCTTCCAGCTAGGAGACGACCTAAGTCACTCGTCTCCTCCTATTTGGAACTCGTCAGCTACATGTATCTGCACTCCAGTGAGTGATGTCGTTCCCATTGAGACTTCAACACCGCACCCACCACTTCAAAAGCCAGGGCGTTAACCATTACGCCACTGAGGCATGACAGTCGACTCTTGTAAAACAGGTGTTGTTTATTACTACTGATAGCTATGCTTGTAATCCCCCGTTGCTTTACCGGATCGAATTGCTCGACCTCTATTGGCATATGTGAACCTATGCAGATACCTCGATATAGCCTAAATACTAAATATGATAATTTACTTGATTTTCGTCTGAAGCAGTGTGTACGAGGTCCAAGTCACCGTGGGAACAGTATCACTCATTAGGATGCAGGCACATCCAGCTGACGAGTCCCAAACAGGATGAAATGCGAGTCCTGGATTCCTCTGCTAGCCACAACCAATTAAACTATCATAATTGACATTCAGGCCATATCGAAACATCGGCATATAGGGCCTACATGCCAATAGAGGTCGAACAACTCGATCCAGTGAAACAACGGAGAATTACAAGCAAGTCGAGAAATATTTCGGGCATGTCATTCCCCCCATTTTGTATATCTTTATCTATGCACGAGGCCTTGCATTCATTCCATGAAATTCGGTAGATAAGATTATTTTGCTTAGTTGGATCTATCGGATCCTTAAGCCGACAGAGTGAGTTTGTTGGTTTAACTACCACTCTAATTCCAGTCTTGTTGAGAATACTACCTTAAATTTCCGATATCCCTTCTTTATACAGTAACACGATAGAGGCGTTGAACTCCTTCCTACTAGTTTTGCTGCCATCATTTGTATTCCTATTACTACCAGTATTTAGTTTCCTGTGGTTTAGCACGAGTCTCTCGATGAACTGTACAGGATAATTATTAATTAGCAACGCTTCTTTCATGTGCTTCAACCCTCTTTTCAAGCCGCTGCACTGACTAGTGAGTTTCCTAGCTCCATTGTTTAGACATTTAACTAAACCCATCTTAACTGATGCTAGATGAGATGACTTGAAGTCTAGGTACCTGTTAGAACGTGTCGGTTGCCTGTAGACGGTGGTATCTAAACCACCGCCTGTTCTTCGGTTTACTCTGGAATCCAATACAGCTAATTCTCCTTGTTCGTTTTCTACCACATAGGTGAACCGGGTTGCACCTACTCTACTGAGTTTATATGTGTCACGAAATTGTCCGTGTTCTGATTTCAACACAGTAAATGTGTCATGCACATATTGCCACCATATCCTAGGTGCAGGATTAATTGTTCGCAGGGTCATATTTTCTCAACTATACATAATAAATATATCCGCTACGATTGGGGATATCAGTACATATGTGCCGTTTTCACCGACTTTCACCCATATATCACTCTAATCATTGACGCCCATCATCTCGAGAAACCCAACCAAGCGGTCCACACTTCACACGACTCAGAACAACAGTTAGACACTTCATCGACTACCGCTACATCTTCAGCTCTTTCAACCCAGTCCAACTTCTCCCAGCATTGCTTATCCATGTAGATGATGGGGCAGCGTGCGAAACAAGCGTCCAAACCACCTCAGTCGCTGAAGCTTTACAACTTCATTAACTGACCTGCCTAGCATTCTACACCTAACATTTACACTACTCACACAGTGATTCCACCGTCGCGAGCCATGCTGCGAAGACACCTGTGGTCGAGAACCTGTAGTCTCTTCACATCCTCTACCTTCAACGGTCATATCCCACAGCCATATATCCAGACAGAACGGGCTACAGCGCAGCATACCTGTCCCTTAACAGGTACTTGGAAATTTCGTCGGAGCCAGAAATGGATAATTTAGGTAAGCAACACAATACTGTGAGGCACTTCCAACCAACAGGAATGAATTATTGCATAAAACGGATAGAAAGCATGACTCACCGTCCAACTAGACGTTGGAAAAACACACCTGCAAAATCTCCCACTGTGAAGGATATTATATAGCTCATGAGCTGCAATTTCTGTGGACGAATTTGAGGCAATCACTGACGGGAAAGATTGTAACATAAATTCTTACACAACATACTTACCATATCTGCAGTTGTTAATAATAATAGTAATAACGGACGGAGACAGTAACTATTGCAAAGATTACACTCACGTTAAGCTAAACCATCTTTCCAACGATTCGAAAATCTGTCAATCAACCTCACTCTTCCTTGACATAAATGATGGAATAGTCTCACCCAAAACAGATAGCGTCTTAGGAATATAAACAACCAGTCATCAACATACTACCATAACGCATAATATAATGTGAACGACTGAGACTTTATGAACTGATCAATTTAAAAACGTGACCTGATGACAAATGATGGCGAGAACAGAATCACTGACGACAGTGCTCCCTGTAATAGAATTTAATCAGGAAACACAACAACTTCCCCGAGTAGCTTGAAGACAATCAAATGTCACATCGTTGATAATTATCTCAGAAATCTCGACAAGGTTAAAAAACGCTTCTTGATTACAGGCAACTTACACCAGCTATGGTGCCTGCTTGATATCTCGTTGCACATTACTACCTGATTGCAGTGCACTTCAGTCCACTTTGCTTAACTATATGGCTGCGAAACGTGGTCAGTAAAGGTGAAGGGCATGAGAAAGCTTCATGCGTCCGACTGCCGTGGACTTCGTATCAGAGGTCACTTATCGGGGAACCACCATATCAGTAAATTGGAAGTCAGGCTTGGAGTTTCAGCAAGTTGAGTTGATGCCTTTTAACCTGAGATATTGATTTCGTGTGCGACAACTTGGATCGTTAAACAGTACTGCTGGGTTCAAATTTGATACTGACTGACGGACTAACTTAAAACTTATCGGCATTAGAGCGCCAGCTAAGGACAAACAAGCAATTACTAACTTCTACCTTCACCTCCTATGCACAATCCCACATTTAAGACAATTGACCCATATTGCGTTAAGAAAGGTGAATGTACAATGATAAAACAAGTTAGGGAAATGCAGATACTTCTTTATGTACAGTGCATGTATACTAATCATAATATGTACGTCAGTAGAAAACAACTGAGAAAGGCAAAAATATCATTTCTAAAGAGTTAAGAAGTAACTGACAAAACATCATTTTGCACACTTTCTTCTACGTCGATATCAGGTGGTGGTTTGTGTTGTAATGATTCACTTCCTCGGATAATATTACCTTTGTAATCAACTACGAAGTTATAATCGACTGTATCAGAATTCATGATTTCTTCAACTTTCTCATCTAAATTCTCTTCTGTAATCATTTTTTCAGCCAACATCTGCAAAAACAAGCAATGATAAAAAATGCAAAGACTGCACTATGAAAAATAAAGGGAAGTGAGTTCAAAATAAGAAGTATGTGGACACTATACGATAACTTGAAATGGTCTACAAGCCACAAAGGAAATTCGGTTTACGATATAAAACCATTAAGGTAAGGCAAATAAATATCAGCTACCAAAAGCGTTTTCTTCTCAGCATGATTGTTCAAGTCAATAGATTTGCAAAGGTTTGAACAAACATGCACCTTGTAACATTGTTTATAATCCTATCATCATTGCGTAAAGAAATCGAAGTTATAAGCAGGGTGTTATGCAACGAAGGTGAGTCAGTAGATGAGATGTTACGTACGCTGATCCATGATACACAAGTTCAGTTGAGTGGAGTAGGATCACGCTAGATAAGTTGTACGGCTAACCACAACGACTCAGTGTAAATCTAGGAGATGACACATTTACCATGTTGAAATAAAAACAAAATTACAGTTTTTCTGATACATAAATCCGACAGTAAATCCAATTCATCTCACTTATGAATGGGAAAATTACTAGAGAGGATTACCTATACTGGATTGAAAAATAAAGCGAAGAGTATATGATAGTTTAGATATCCATGTTTACATCAGACAGTCACAATCGAATTGATACCTGGATTTTGAATCATCTCAAGGTAGATTTGGTGGACTTTTTCCATAGTAGAGCCAGGATTTTGATTAAAGTTAGAAAACCAAGTTAGGGGCTTAAACATGTCAAAGAGACAAAACGTTTTAATAGCTACCACTGGAATTTAACAAACAACTTATAAGAGAAACAGAAATAATAATACCAACTGTTATCGCAACATGAATAACAGAATTCGAATCAGTTGTAGACCACTACTGTATGAAGAAGAGAAATGATGAATTAGAAGTAGGACTGTTGACAATGCTGCAGATAAGTTACTTAGTTTTGGTTTTTTATAGAAAATAAACTTTGTACAATATGGATATTAAAAGATTTGCCATACAAAATAACAAGGAAACATTCAGAAGACACAAACAAAGGAAGCAACGTAAACTACACTATGAATGGGTCATCCATATAGAGAAGTACTCAATACAAACTAATTCTCGATTATAGAAGAAACAAGGAAACTGTAACATGGTCACCACTAGTTTCAATTCCGGACCATATCTGCTATCATCTCAAGCCACTAAGTAGCACGATCACTCAGGCCCCATCCATGTACAAATGCTAGCCCGACACAAATATCTTTCAGGTTGGTACTCATCATGGGCTGACATCAGTTGGAGAACTATTGGAAGCGCTGGACAGCTATTTCGTTTTCGTATGAGACTTCCCTCCAGGGCTCGAATCCACCACCTTCAGGTTCCGCGGCCATCAATGTTACCATTGAGATAACAGATCGAAATTCGATGACCCACGTTTTTTACTTCTGTCAGTTGGGGGCATAGTGCGACCTACATTCAATGCCGTCGTTGAGTAACTGTCTTCGCATCGTACTCAGTTGGCCCACCGGTCACGACGTTTCATTCGGGATTCGGGAGTCTCATTTCGAAGCAAGTCACTAATGACCCACAAAACGTGAGAGTTTGATCTCTTGGGGGTTATGAGTGCGCACTGCTGATGAGTCCCATACCATGATGAAACAGCTGCCCTGTGCTCCCAGGTTTCCGATGATTCCCCAACTGATGTCATTTCATGATGGACATCAACCTGAAACCAATTAATACGTCCCCATGAACCTATGAATTGAACAAATATCCTTCACTCTATGGCGTCACGTCGTTCATTGCTTCTTTTAACCAGTCTCGGAGTATGCGAACAGTGAATTCAAAAAGGGATGGTATTTAAAACAAAAGACCTACTTAAAGCAAAAGTTTGCACCCTACAAATTCCATAGACAAATTGAGCGAAATAGATCAAGTATAATAAATTAAATTAGCCGATTGAGGTCACTTTCGAAATTGGAAAGAAGTATAAAACGATTTTGTTTATTTGTCCCTTGAGTTCCTAGTGGAGCATAGAGCTTCAGTAGTACGTCTCCATTGCACTCTGTTCTCTGCAATCTTTTCAACCTAACTCCACGACTGCCCAGAAGCTTCCAGCTCTTCCTCACACGATCTCATACATGTCACCCTCACCTCGGACACCCAACTCGGCATCTCTCCATTTGATTCCACTCGATGGCCTGGCGCGCGATATTTCTGAATGGTTTTTTCAGTGTATGTTCAATCCAATCCATCTCCACTTTCTTCTGCATATTTGTTGGGCGATGGTTTTTTGCTTCGTTGGTTCGTTGCCAGCCAGCCAGAGTTCCTTTTTGCTTATTCTTATTATTATGGCCATCTGATCTCCAGTATATTCAGTGAGCGTATGCAGAAGCTGTTCATGAATGTCTGTAGTTTGTTGGGAATGCTTTTCGCAACGCGCCAAGTTTCTGAACCATATAGAAGCACTAACTGACTGGATTAGTGTTGAGAATCCAGATCTTGTTCTTAATGTTGAGTGCAACAGATCTTCACACTGATTTCAGATTGATGAAGGATCGTCTTGCTCTTCCGATTTTGGATTTGACGTCCTCATCTGTACCGCCATCGCCTGTAGTTTAAATGATGCTGCCTAGGTGGTAGGTGAAAGAGACTACTTCCTTTGGATTTCTCTCGTCGGTGGTGATTGGTGCTTGTTGTTCTTGCTGCTGGTTGTTGCTTGGGTATCTTCATCACCTCTGTCTTCTCTACGTTCACGTGAAGTCCCGTCTTCGCTGCCTCGCCTCTTCTGTCAACTAGGGGGTTTTCGCCTGTAGATCTTTGAGCTTGTGCGACAAAACATTAGACATAAATCATCATCGCTGGCGAAATACAAATCTTCTTATAGGCTCTTTTCATCGGTTAAGCCCCAGTATCCCCATCTTCTCACTCCTCACAGTTGTCTGTTGCATGATCCAGTCGACCACAATCACCAAGATCATCGGTGGTAGTAGGCAACCTTGTGTCTCACTCCTCCCTGTCTTCACTTCACTTCAAAGGCATCACTTAGCTTTCCATTGTCAATCACTTCGCATGCAGCATCATATAGCATATTGCTGCTGTTGAATGAGATTGATAAAGGTTTGTGGTATTCCGTAGTGTTGAAGCAGTTGCCAAATTATTTCTAGGTGGACGTTGTTGAAGGCCTTTTCAAAGTGGATGAATTTGAGGTAGAGATTTGACTGCCATTGTACTCTCTGTTCCATGATTATGCGTAGTGTAGCATTGCAATTCGGTCCGCACATGATTTGTACTTCCTGAATTCAGCCAGCCAGACTGTTCCAGTCGCAGTTTTGAATCCAGCGCAACGTTTAGTCTCTCCAGGATCATGCGGCTCAATATTCTGCTTGGGGTGGACAGCAGCATGATTCCGCGCCAGTTCTTGCAAAGACTTAAGTCTCCCTTCTTTGAAAGTCCGACAAGGTAGCCGTTTTTCCACTCAGGAGGTACATTTTCTTCCTTCCAAACCTTATACAACAGTGGTGTGAGCATGTCAACTGTTGTCTCTACGTCTGTTTTCAGTGCTTCTGAAAGAATCCCAGCTGGTCCTGCTGCTTTCCTGGATTTCAGCAACTTTATGACGTCCAGGACTTTACTTCTGCTTTTGTCAGAGGGTTTGTGTTCACGGATAGTTCTGTGGCTGGGTTGCTGATGGTGTTTCTGGACGAGTTGCAGATGGTGGTGGTGATGGTTGTCGATTCAAGAGTTTTTGAAGTGGTCAGTCCATCATCTCCTTTGTTTCTCCTCTTTAGTGTCAACAACGTTTCCTTCACTATCTTTCATTGGTTTTATCTGTGTTGATCTCTTCCCAGATAGTAACCTGGTTATTTGATATGTTGTCAGGTCTCTCCTACCGGCAGCCTATTCTGCTTTAATCGCCAGTGTGTCGTAGAAGTGTCTTTTGTCTTTGCGAGCACTCTTCTTCACTTCTTTGTCCAGTGTAGTGTTTGATGTGTTGTATTCAGTTCCTCTTTCTGCTGTTCATCCCTCCACTGGTTTATCTTCTGCTTCACCATCACCATCTTCCTCTCCCCCATCTATCATCTTCCATGTGTCTGTCGAGATCCATTCCTTCATTGTCTTCTTTCTTCCTCCTTCCTAATACGGCTATGCAGGTTTCTTTCCACATCTCTTTCAAAGAGTTCCAGTGTTCTTCCACACAGGTTTTTTAACGGATTTTGCTCAATGTCTCCCTTTTTGTCTTGATGGCTGGCTGATGTGAAGATGTCACTTGTAGTTTCGTCCTTCACCTCAGTTTCTCTTCTGGGTGTTCAACTCGAACTGTGGTCTATCACTAACTTCTTTGAATTAAAGCCTTTCAACATGATTTTGAAGGCAGGTTCCTTGCACCAGATAGTGAAGTGAGTGGTGTGAACCTACATCTGCTCCCCTTCTTAATCTAATCTTGTTCCAGTAGGCTGGCTACGTCTTCACTTTCTTCACATTGAGATAAAGTCTATCTGAAGTCAATTTTTAGTGTGTCGTGGTGTCCGGTGAAACCAAATCCATGTGGCTACCTTGTGAATATTCTTGTGTTTGTACACACTGCCTCCAATCACCAAATCGTTGAATGTGCAGAATTCTGCAAACAGTTCTCCATCCTCGTTCATTTCACCGAACGCTTCTCGACTCATGATTGGTTCCCTTCCTGTGTTGTCTGCTCCAAGTTTGGCATTCGTGTCACCCATTAGAATTTTGAAGTCACCAACTGTAATCTTGTCTAGTACTGATTGCAGTTGTCTGTAGAATTCCTCCTTTTTCTCTTCATCTGTATTATTTGTAGGTGCGTAGTGTAGCATTGTATGATTGTGACTTTCCTTACTTTTGAGTTGAATCTTGCTGTCATGATCCTGATCCTACAGGAGGAGATTGGTTCCCACTGCATGCTAGCCTTCGATGCTGTTGGAGACATCATGATAGCCACTCATTCCGTGTGCTAGTGGTTGTCGTCTGGGTGACAATGTCGGAGTAGATTACTGACTCGTCTCCAGTTGACAGTTTTGAGATTCCACTTCCATTCCATCTGCACTCGAGGATTCCTAGCACTTCTATGCTATACCTTCTCATCTCTTTTGCAATCTGGGCAGCCTTGTCAGCCAGCTTCAAACATTGTGGTCACATTCCACGTACCCATGTTTACTTTTGTTTTCATAGAGAGAGAGAAGACATATCGGTCAGTTGGCTTCCCGAAGGCTTTCACCAACTGACGTCATTTCGTCTCCCCGATTCCAGCAAGGAATAAGTTTATTTTAGTTTTTTATATTTTCTCTGTGCTTTGAAGTTTTTTTAGCGGTTAGATTGGTTTTAAGGGGTAGGGTTGCTAGCCCTATGCCCAACCTTATCCCTTTATCCGGGCTCAGGACCGGCTAGTAACTATTGAACTAGTTACCTAGATGAGGTTATAAAACGATAGACTGTACTAAGATAAGTAATTTAGAGAAAAGTTCAGCTATTGGTCTGCATGCAGTGACTCAAAATCACACTATATGATGGGATAGGGAGAAAGTTTCAAAATTCTATATAGCCAGGTGAAGGGAGAGATTGACTACTACTGAATCTCCATCCATCGAATAAATGCAAAAAACACATACAATAGAAATGACTCATTTCAAACTGAACACACCTAGAAAACTCCACTGCCAAGAAAAAGAAAATTGTGTGACTACTCTGGTATGATTATGGGCAGTAAATTGTGCTTTGAATGTCCCCCAGTAAATAAAATTTTATCCTTGCGTACTAAACTAATGTGGAGCCCATTGTCTTTAATTGGTTCGAGGAGTTTACGGAAGTGTTTTGCTGTTTGACGTTTGTAAGGTAAAAAAAAGAGACTCTTACACATATGGCACATAAACTATCACTATAGAGTAAATATATTCAAACCCTACATAAATCCAAACCAAGTATATTCCACTACAACTTTGTTACTTCTGTAACCTTTTCGTGTTTTGCCTTCTAATATACCTAGAATTGCTTAGACACATAATTTCGCAATAGCAGGACTCATTTTATACATCTAATCATAATAACTTTATATCTTGGAAAATATACATTAGGACCAAGCAAACTTACAGCAACTGTCGCCAGATTAGATTCCAATTTTTCTGAGCATACTGATTGTTTATTCAAGTAGTCAGTTAATCTACTGGTCTGTTTATCAATTAATGTGTCTAGAAGCTTTTCTAGTTTATCTGTAGCAGCTAAGTGAGTTTCTGTATTCCAGTTTGCTGTTAGCTCATGACGTCGGTTACGATCGTGCTCGTGATCAGTTCGTGAGGTTTCAATGATTTCTACGTTGCGCCGGTAGACTTCATATTTGAACAGCTTACTACAACTAAATAGGCTTTAAATATATTAAGCTGACCTGACGGCTTCATACTGTAATCGATATTCTGTCCACCACTTTCGGCAAAGTTCCTCTTCCACTGGGTCGACTGGAGTTGGTTGTCTTACACTAAAAAGTTTGCCTTGAAGAAATCTGAACACGCAAAATGTAACAAACTTTTTGCTTTAGGGTGAATACGAGGATTTTTCCTGATTCGTTTGTTTCCCAAATCAGCTAGTGTTTTAGCGAAGACTGCCAACTTTGACATAATACAAAACTAAAAAAGTAAAACGGTAAGCAAACTAAGTTTATGGAGTATATTTTTAATGAAAAGTTAGCGCAGTCATACGTTAAAAACATGACCTAACACGAAAACGATCCTCGATAAAAAAAATCCTCTCGATACCAAAACCAGTGGTTGTTTTCAACAATTTTCTCATAATTACTTCTTTCTGGCAAGCCCAAACTTTGAAAATAAGAAGAGATATTATTTAGGAAGGAGTCAGCCGATATCAGGCGAACAGTGAAGACAGATATGTAGAATAGTTATAAGATGAAATCAGAGGATCAATAAACGGTTGCGACGGTTCTTATATTATTTGCTTGGATTCTAATTGTGTTCATGTGAGCACACTTGTTTGAGCATACAAGGTTGCAGTAAGCAGACAACAACAACAATGGTTTAGTGTTGCCTGAACTCAAAAAGGGACACCAATCTCATAGGCACCATAAGCTACAATACTCCTATTATCTCGAAAAAAACAGCAGTCTTTCGATGCTATCCTAAAAGATGAAATCAAGTGGTTTCAGCGTACGTGGGCAATGCCATGGAGGCAATTGTGGCCGAAAATCTTCAACACCCATGTTTTACCGTCGTATAACAAACAGTACAGTGAACTACAGCGCAGTTTACTTTCCTTCGAACATATGGTCAGATGACAATTTACCATGATGAAACATTACACGGATGATTTCGAGTATACGGTCATAATTAGTGGTACATAATATAAGTGAAAAACTTGGGCACTGTGATAGAATGTAGTTCCATATTAGATTTGTTTATTTGATATAAAGCGCACAGTGATACAGTATTATTTACTTGATTACGTTTCGAGCATAAATTATTGCTCATAATCATATCAATGTAATCACACTTCTTTCAACATCTGATTTTATAGTCCTGTCACCTGATCTCTCTTTGTTTTTTTGTTTTTTGATTGGTAGTAAAGTTTTCCATATCTCTGGTATAGGTGTTGCGTCATTCCCAACACATGTAATAGGAATGACGCAACACCTATACCAGAGATATGGAAAACTTTACTACCAATCAAAAAACAAAAAAACAAAGAGAGATCAGGTGACAGGACTATAAAATCAGATGTCGAAAGAAGTGTGATTACATTGATATGATTATGAGCAATAATTTATGCTCGAAACGTAATCAAGTAAATAATACTGTATCACTGTGCGCTTTATATCAAATAAACAAATCTAATATGGAATTAGTGGTACATAGTTGCTTGGTACTTCATTCACAGTCAAACATTGCCATAAAACACCTTTCCATCTACAAAGTTAAACGTCACTTTCAGGTCAAGAAATATGGGAAGTGCCAGCAACCAGTAGGTATGCCTGTGAGCCCAAAGCTGTCGCAGGATGAAGATGCGATTAATGCGCTTTTTTCTAAGTCTGAAAATTGCCTGATTTTCTTTAGTTTGCTGTTTCTGCACTCTAGTTAGGCGTAGGAAAACTATGGATCCTAATATCTTGAGCACGGTGTTAGTTAAACTGATTCCCTTATGACTATCACACGAATATTTTTCTCATTTCTTACAAACTGAAATGACCAACGATTTAGGCTAGTAGGATGGGACTACCTCAGATTCCCATACATTTTTGAGTAGTGAAGTTACTCTGGATAGCAATTTCCTACCTCCCACCTCCACCACACGCTTCCCGACCGATAGCTGATACCTTGACGTGGTGGTCGGGCTTGCATATCACAATGACCCAACGAACTATGCTGGTGGAACGCTCGTTCCCTCGAGGTCCTACCATATCAGAAAGGTCTGTTGGATAGTCGTTAGACGAAAAGCAGTTACCGTTGTGGTGTAAACTACTACACTATGATGGGGGTCTGAGGGCGAAGTCGTACTGCTGCTAGCTGGATGGAGTGTGACAGCAGTAAGGTGTTTACCTTCGATGACCACCAGTGCCATGCTGATGCTGCCTTCTCAGTGGAAGAGGGGGTTAGAAAATTTCGGCCCCAAAAATAACACACTCCACTATGCCCCACGGTCTGTCGGGCCGGTGGTGTTGGTTCATTTGTCCTTTCCTTTCAACCATCCGGCCCCAAAAATACAAAAGTTCAAAATAATCATACTCAAAAGGCTACATGTGACAGGCCTCAAGCAGATGTCCGATGAGCTCTACGGTCACACAAATTCTCTTTCAGGTACTTTAAGAAGAAATAACTTTCCATGGTGTGGGCAGACGGGAAGTGTCAACTGCCCTCACAACTCTACTCTATCAGCACTCAAGTTTCCTCAGACTGATATCCACCTCCCCCCCCCCATCATTACCTCCTAATTTTGTTTCACGTCTCTCAACTAACGATACTACATCATCTTTAATTCCTTCTAGCTCTGTAGCCTTCCACAACGATCTGAGTCCACAGAACAGCATCCCTGGTCTCCCTCCTTAAACCACACTACAAATCAGTCGAGTGAGGGGGGATGTGTTGTGCTAAACCACTACCTACCTCGAAGTGCCATGGTAGTAGGGAAGTTAGATTAGGTTGTAAGAGGGTCCATGGTGCGGGAAGCAAAACGTGTAGCCAGTCGATGAAGTGTCCGACTGTCGGCCTGAGTCGTGTGAGATGTAAACTGTGGTTGGGGTCCCTGAGACGAAAATCAGTGGTCGAGAACTCTTGGTGACACATGGCTGAGAATTGGTCACAATGGTGTAGATGTATTCACTCTGTGACATCTGAAGCTTAAATATTCACACTCACCTTCATCTTCAGATTGTTTATTTTCTCACACTATCTACTTTGATATCATTCTTTTTCTATCCACCTGTTGTTTGTGTACTACGGTTAATTGTAGCAACTTGAGCTGATGCACCTGTGTGCGATGTTTTAAGTTGATTTTATCAGTCAGTCGTTGATGACTGCACCACTACGGTTGGTTCTGGGCTGTAGCACGGAATCTAACTATCGACTTTAGTTATCATGCAAACCCTAGCCAAAAAAGTATGTTTTCTAATGTGGTTCAGGCCAAGTCAGAGACGTTTCAGTTGGGTCACGAACTCGTTTGGTTGGTTGACTGTAGTTACTTTGCATCCAGTAAACGGCAAAGGGCTATTCTTTAGCTTACATCCCATTTGATTGAGAAATACCCATTTCATAGTCATATAGGATAGGACATAAAAGCAATAATAATAGTACTTTTTGACTCATTTCTGTTTCTGTTGCTCCTTTTTTGCACACAGAATCATCGAACTCTATGATCAATTATCAAAAAATTGACGATCAACACACGTGTTAACCAAGTTTCAGAAGTCACGTTTGTGCGACTACTTAAAAGACCAATTAACTAGGAAACTATAAAGTCAGTCGCGCCTAATGGCATGAAATTTGTGCTTGTCACTCATTTACATCTAATCACATACTACAAGTGCTATGAAGCAAGCATTGCTACATCCAGTGTTTCTGATCCGTGTGAAAATATAATATTCTTACCAGATTATTCGCAGATATAATACGAAATCCGATAAAGCTAGTTTTCGGTAAAACCATATCTGCTGAGAGACAATTATTACACTTAAATTCAAAATGGTTCTCGGTAGAACTGATAATAAAATGGACGTAACTCTAATTTTATACAACTTTATGCACAAGCCGTAAGTTCCGTTCGTCTTGTAAGAGGCGCATGATGTCACTCGAATGTGCAAAGGCCAGTGGGTCCAATGAAGTTTTCACCTACTACTCATTGGTCTAAATACCGTGTACCTATGCGAGTGATTTACTACTTCCCAGTTCTCAACAGTCAATCTAAAATAGATAAGTATTGCATATGAACTGGTAACTATCAGTTCTAAGGTAGACATCGCTGGAGAGAATCAGTGGACTGCCGCTCCTTCTGGAGTACGTATTTGGACAGCGATCATGCGTTGGTCCGAGTCCGTATATGTCTGCGTTTCAATGGACGTAGAAAGAATTCGGCAACAAAACCATTACGAGTGCTGCTGGACAACGAAAACACCAAAGCCGTGTTCAGTGAGAAGTTGGCTAGGCAGTTATCGGAACAAAAGACTGTCACTCATCCAGAAGAAGCTTGGTGCCATCTCAATTCTGCTGTAAAAGCAGCACTGAATACTGTAGCCGACTCCGAAAGAGTGGCTGGCTAAAAAGAGCCAGTGGATATCAGCAGCTTCTTCCGAACTGATGGATGCACGTGAACGCATCCCTGCCTGCAGGCTATGAGTACAATAAAGAGCAAGCGTAACTTAAAAGTAGATTGAGAAAAAGTCTACGCAACGACTGCAAACAGTGGTGGGTAGCGAAGGCTAAAGAGATGGAAAAGGCAACGGCGATCTGTATTAGTAGACAGTTATTTGGACTTATTAAGGAGACTGGGGGGAAACGTTCAACAACAGTTACTGAGGCTATAGCGGAGAAGGACAGGTCTGCGATTCACTCGCAAGGGAGACAACTAGAACGATGGGCAGAACACTTCGAGGAACAGTTCAACTGGCCTCCAGCCACCATTGCGTTGCCCGCTATCCAGTCGGATCCTGAATGCGACATAGAGATAGGTCCCCCAAACACTTGAAGAAGTTGAGAAAGCGGTGGGTAACCCGAAACGAGGAAGGGAGGCAGGACCAGACGGACTACCTACTGAGGTATACAAGAATGCTGGTGCGGTGCTTTCAGTCAGGTTAACGGAGGTGTTAGCTAGTATATAGGAATCAAATACGATCCCCTCCGACTGCTCTAAGTCACTGATTATCCCAGTCTTCAAGAAAGGTGAGAAGTCCTCTCATGATAACCACAGAGGAATCAGCCTCACGAACATAGTGTCTAAGATCCTAGGTCCTATAATTCTTCGACGCCTGAGTGGAGCTCGGGAACAGCAAGCCCGAGAAAACTAAGCAGGCTGTAGACCCGGCCGCAGGTGCATCGACCAAATACTCACACTTCGCCAGGTCCCGGAACATATGCACGCTTACAGACGCCCAACAATAGCTGTATTTCTCGACTTGAAGGCGGCAGCA